TTATCTAAATTTATACAATATATTATCATGAAAAGTAACTCATATGTTATTGAAGGTACGAGTTCAAAACGAACATACATACCTACAAGTAAAACAGACTATAATTTCATTCTAGAAAATAAGTGCGATATGTTATTCTTAGTGCACAAGGTATAAAATTCGTTTATTGAGATTTGACTTAAAATTTATACTAGCCCGTACAATGAAAAATAATTGCTTGTAATTCCAGAGTACCAATTTGTTAATGACTCGGAAAAAGAACATGGCGGCCTGCTTTCAAAAAACTTTGATGAGCTTCTCGGTGTCCACTTCGAAATAATGTCGAAGCTTTTACAGAGTTCCCGTAAGGAATAATACAAATATATTAGTAAACTAAGATTTTGTAATTAGACCTTTATTCCACCGATCCCCTCAATAATGACACCATTTGAAGTACGAGAAGTATCATATTAGAACGATATTTTCTAGAAAATTCTAGAAGGAAGTGAATATATTACGTGAAATAATCAGTAAAGTTTTTAACCGTATAGCTTGTCTGTAACTGACTCAAGAATTGATATATTTTATTGTCATGATAATATATATTGTTAGATAATCATTTAAACTGTGAACTGGCACCTTTATTAATATATCAGTCACATGTCATGGTAATATATCGTAATATTATCATTAATTTTTAAAGGTTTATATTCACTTTGAACTGACACCTTTGATTTATCTTTAAGAATTAATATCTCGTTACCTATTGGAGAAACTTGCAAAATGGTACAAGACTTTTCGACTCAGTATAGTCTGTTCTACCTACGCACGAAACATTTTGCGGTTATTTCCTGACACCCAGTATATATGTGTATATATATATATATATATATATATATAATTGGAGCGATCCAATAGCTTTTTTTCGTGAATACCTAGAGTTCCTGATGCACAAAAAAGAAAGTTGACACACAAAATTGATAAAAAAAACAATAACAAATTTTTGAAAAAGAACTTTTTATACAGTAGTTCCATCTGTCACGAGTGCCATTGCACAAGTTCCAGAATGTTAATATTAAAAACATATTAAGTGTACATATTACGAAATATTAATGTATATTTTAAAAACATATCGAAAAGAAAAGAAGTGCAAGGCCGAAATTACGAAAGCGATTAATAGAACTCAGCCGTTGCATCCTTGATCGATAACACTGCGCGACGTTTTAAGACTTTTTTTCTGCTGTGTGAATAAAAGATTGCCATTTCCGATGTATTTTTGCCCGCTGAACACGAATCCGGCAATGAAATTGCTCTATCATGTCACGTTTTTGAGAAAAGTGAAGTTAAAAGTGTCAAAATTGACGTTTTTTGACATATTTGTGATGTTTTTGCCAGCGAAATAAACTTTTTTTTCTACTTTCGTTTGCGCCATCTTAAAGTGCCAACTTTTATCTTTAAAATATATTTTTTTTAACGCCGTACATTTTGTTTTCACCGAGATAATCTGCGTAGTCACACAAAGAAAAATGTTTTTGAAAAAAAAATTTTATGAACTGTGTAATGATTTTAGTAGCATGGCTTTTAAGGTCACTAAATCCGAATCTGAAGTCAAATTTTCGAAATTCAAAATGCAGAATTCAATATGGCGGAAAAATTTGCCATCGCAAAAAATGTTTATCATAAAAATTTGTCATTTGCGCTTTAATTTATTTAAAAAAATATTGTTTACAATATTAATTTTGGAATTTTAAACATTTGTAAAAGAATTTAAAATTTAAATTAAGTAAAAAAATTGTTGTAAACAATTTTAAAACTTTAAGATACATGTATAATGAAATTGTAATAGTATTTATTTATCAAGACGGGAGAATCTTTTCAAGATACATTAGTATCATTTCAATAGCATTTTATGGTTTAATTCGATTTATGGTTGAATTCTCCATTTTGAATTTCGAAAATTTGACTTCAGATTCGAATTTATTGATCTTAAAAACCTTGCTACTAAAATCATCACACAGTTTTAAAACTTTTTCTTCCAAAACATTTTTGGCACAGAACGTTTTTCTTTGTGTGACTACGCAGAAATTATTTCGGTGAAAAAAAAACGTACGGTATTAAAAAAAATATATTTTAAAGATAAAAGTTGGCACTTCAAGATGGCGTAAACGAAAGTAGAAAAAAAAATTTACTTCGCTAACAAAAAAATCATAAATATGTCAAAAAACGTCAATTTTGATACCTTTACCTTCACTTTTCTCACAAACCTGACGTGATAGAGCAATTTCATTACCGGATTCGTGTTCAGCGCGCGAAAATACATCAGAAATGGTATCTTTTATTCAAACCGCAAAAATCACGTCCCCCAGTGTAATCAGAACGTTGACGAGGAAGCACTGATTCGGTAAGGACGGCCAAGGAGAGCCACGGAATAAAAGGAAAAGATGCGAGGCAGACGCGGATCATTGTAAAGTCAGTAACGCGTCACGTCACTCTGTCCGTTTAAATAATTGTAAAAGTATCTGAGAAAAATGTTGCAAAGGTGATCACGAATTCAACTAAGTGTTTGAGTGAGAAAATTCTTTATTAAAAGCAGTTTAAAGGAAGTGCATAGTGTTCTTATTGTTTAACCGCCTGAAGTCGTCCCCGCTAGATCCCGAATTCCATACCGCGTAATACGGTATAACACATCACACGGTAACTGTCATTTTATGTATTTCGAAGAGTTCTCAGCAATTAAAGTCAACACAGACTCAAAAATAAAAAAGATATGTACTTAAAACGAATTTGAAAAATTGG